CTAATGGTCTATGCTTTTCTGCTTGCCTTCACTTCAAATGCGCTTTATGTAGGCTAGATGAATGCGCCATCTAGTGCCAAAATGTTGTAAAGCCTGTTAACGAGTTAAGGATGGATTGTGTGGATGCCGCTGGTTTAAGACAATCGTGTGTCTCACAGACACCACTTTTCCATCGCGGCTTGAGCAGTTTTTTGATAGATGGTACCCACAGGATGTTTGAAATTCCTTAGAAAGTTCCTGGAAAAAACTCAATCTCTACTTACATATAGAGTGGTAAATCTTAGATGATATTTTCCTCGCGGATCCAGTTCGCCAATGCGTTGCCCTTTCTCCTGTTACGAGAAAAACGAAACTTATACATAAATTATTACAGCACTAATGTTTAATTTGTCTTCTGCCTTTCAGCAATAGAGACATTTGCAATCGCGAACAAGTGAGCTTCTTTTACAATGACTTACAGTGGAGTCGTCAATTTTGTAGGAATATTTAAAGGATATTTAAAGTGCTCTGTTTATGATTGTTGTAAGGATCCTTTTCTGGGTGTAATCTGTCATTTTTCTTCTCACGCATCTAGAGACTAAGACCTTCTAAAAGCGTTTATTATAATATACTGTGATTATGTTATCTGTAATGAAGTAACCGCCCGATACTGATCATACTTCGCGTGCGCAGCATACTGTTGTCATGGTTACCTCCGACATCTGTTCCGTTCGTTATTTGACAACAGGTGAAAATACGCGATCCGATTAACTTAGAATCGAACTTTTATTAATGGTTTTGATAAAACCCTATTGATAGCCTACTTAGGAAAATTACTTTTAAATAAGGCCTTACCTCAATCAACCCCCGTCACATTGATGTGAACCACAGCATGTCTTAATCTAAACAGTTTTAGTGTCTCTTCTAGTAGCCTAGTGTCTTATAGATTTTTGTTTTATTTTCAGCAATATACTGATACAAATTGCTGTAATTTTGAGAGTTTGCATCAGTTTATCTTTCAGAAAATGTGCAATTTCCTTAAATATAATGTAGATTTTTGCGTTAACTAGCTAAATCAAGCATTTCTGGGTGTTCATCACTCTTGTTGCTTTTGTACATCACATCTTTAACATTATTTATACAGTTTGGGTTAGACAAGATGGAGGTCTTGAACTTCTTAAACAAGCACCGACTCAACCTCTTGAAAAACCTTGCATTTGAAAACATAGATTTCACCATAGATGAATAGAGAGTGTTATTTTGCAGTTGTCTCTTGTTGTGTTACCACTAATGCCAGATTGTAACTATTATGGATTCCACATTTTAATGTGTTCTCAAAGTCAGAATAATAATTAACAGCTGAGACACCTGTGTGAGCTTAGGTGATGCACGCTACAGTGTTCTTGTCATTGAGACAAATACACCAAAGCAATCTAAAATCTTTTCTCAGGCTACAAGCATTTTCCCTGACTTTTTTTTTTTGTTTGTTCTTTTCAAATATTTAATCATGCATTGTTAAATATCTTTGTCCTTAAGGAGTGAATACCTTTTTCATTTTTTCTTTAGAGTGCTAAGACTAGCGTCTGAAAAGTGTCTGTTACCACAATTCTTTTAAGTTGGAAAAGTCTGATACATCTGTAATGAGTGGTTTTGTTTCTTAATCCCCCTATATGACATGGAGATTTAAGCAAATGCAGTTGTGGGGGAATCAAGATCATGCAGACCAATCTATCCTGTCCTACCTGCCCCTTTCCAAACAACTGAGCAGGTGCATGTGGTCTTTTTGCCAAAACCATAGAGCTGCCACTCATGCCCAATTAAAGTACAATCATGTTTTACAGTGAAAGGCGTTTGAACGTGCTCCTACCAAGCCCCGGTCATATGGATCAAATACAGCTGTGTGGGTGAAGTATTTCATCAAGCGTTCTGTACCTTACTTTGTAGATAGAGAGCTTGAAAGATCACTGAAGGCTGGATGGTTTGTCATGTGAGAGGTTTGATTGATGGAAACCTGGTTTGTTGTATATTCAATGCCTCATAATGAATCTGGCTTCAAAGGCCTAACAAATGAAACACAAAAAGCATGAATTAGCAGCTTTGTTTACCTAACAGTTGAACCGATTATTTCGGCATTAACCATGAAAGTCATCTTTTTTATTTTGGACATTTAAACACACCTGAAACCGTGACTGGATTATTTTTTTGTGGCGGCTACAACCGCATTGCCTCTCACGTTCTGTGACCCATCTAAAACACCTGTACTGCCTGTGTACACAAACATAACTCATGTTTGCACATCATACCATACGATGACAGGATATTGATATCGCATTATCATGCGCAGCTCAAACGCACGCATATTAAAAGCAGAACAAACATGTCCGTCAAGGTAATCTTGTCTTCCATCGCTGCTTTGAATGAGACAGAAGGTCTCAGTTATTGCCAACTCAGTCCCAGAGCAATAAAGTGATTCATTGTCTAGATTACCGTTTAACAGGAAGTTGATTGAGAGCATAATCCATATTGATTCTCTTGATGGAAACAGGAAATAGCAGAGTTAGAAATAAAATTGTTTGTTGTTCCTGGTGAAAAGGGACCCCAGAGGAAAATAGAAAGCCATTGCGAGCTGATGAGTGGCACTGCCCCCTAGCACCACTCCTTCTAGCCCCACCGCCCTTTTCCTCTCATCTCCCTTTGAGACCAGAGAGACGTCATCAGGGATGTTGTGCTCTCGGCCTCCACCCCCTGCCACACAACTACACACCGGTGCTCTAGTCTAATTAGGAGGGAAAGATACAATTTAGTCAGCGCAGTGCGCTAAAGTTCAGTAGTCAACAATAACTGACCTTCGCCCTTTTACATGACACCTCAAAGCCGTGTAGCTCTGTAATATATTTAAGATTATGTATTACCGGTAGGATTTGGATGAGAGATGGCATTGGTACTCCACCTGCTGTCAGGTAGGGCAACAGAAGGGATTTGGGTGTCAGCATGACTGATGCTGGTATTTCATTCAGAAGCCTTTGCAATATATATAAATACTTCTCTCATTAGGGAGACGACAGATGTTTGCTAATTGGGATCATCCTGAAACTGGGGCGTTACTGGGCTGTGCTGCTCTGTGCGTGCGTAAACCCGCATTAAGGTTGTCTTGAGAGCAGGAACACTGACAATAATCCATCCGTCCTCACAGGCGCGACACATCTGGAGGAATGAAATAAGACAGAATCATTGAATAATCCTCAGGCAGGCACTTTAAATTCCTCGCTATATTCAGCAGAGGTAATTGCTGACAATGTAAGAAGCTTTTTCCATTACGGGGAAAGCTGACAGACTGAAGTATCCTTTCATGCCCGCAGAAGCAGCTTGTACACACATTTTGCGCGCTGCCTGATTTGATTAAGATTGATCTGTCCTCCACAGCTGTATCCTCAGCTCTGGGTTTTTCCATGCTTGTTTTTGACCATTTGAGAGGAGAGATTAAAGATGCACCCACCTCATCTCCCTAGCCAAACACACACACACATACATTGGTGCTCACACGCTCTCTCACACACACACCCCTCGTGGACTGCGACGTCACTGAGCGAGGGGACTTTGAGCTCATTAAGTAGAGGGCTGTGATATTCTGAATCGAGACTGTGGGACTCCCAACCGGCCTATTTATAGAAAGCACATCTCCATGGCAGTCATCGCTGCGCTAGCAAATCGCAGCCGTGGCCCCAGACACCAATTAAGAATTAAACAAATGCCTTTTAGACAGGGCGTGTCCCTCCTTCTCTCCTACCGACCCGTACTGCCTTCTGCTCTGGGAGTAGATCCTCCCTCTGCCTCTTCCTAAAGCTGCGTGGGGCATCGGGAGGACAGCACACAGAGAACTGGCGAAGCCTTGCTGCGGTGCTGGATATTTTTAAATGCACTCCCCCCTCCGCCCCCCTTTCCCCACCCCTACCTCTCCCCTTCTCCTTCTCCTCAGAAAAGTGAGAGTAATGGGTTTTTGTTGTTGTGTATGCATGTTCCCCTGTCTGTTCGTATGCGCTGGGATGCCGTTAGATGCAATGAATCGCAGTGACTCATAGAGGGACTTCAGAGAGGTAAGAGAAGGCTGCAGAGAGGAAGGGAGAGAGGAGGAATCAAATAGGTTCACGGTTTCCTGGAATTTTCATGTAGTTGCGTTGTTTTCATAGTCTGGAAAAATGTCATTGATTAGAACATGGCAGTTTGTGTGTAGGTCTGAATGAGTGAATGAATGACTGGGGTCTTTCTGCATTTCTCCTTCTCTGTGTATCTTTCTTTAATCACTCCATTTCAGTTCGTTCTCTGCATTCTTACTGTGTCTTTCCTTATCTCTCTTTTTATGAAAAAAATAAACATTTTATGATTTTAGTAGTAACAATTATGTATTATTGCAGTAAATATCAAAATGTAAAATAGAGTGAATTCAGTATTGAATTGCTCATGAAAACCCTTGATGATAGAAGCTGTTCTTTCATTTTTTGACTTCACCTATATCTGTTCTGTCTGATACTCACACAAGCAGTTCACACACCTCTAAGGGAACAGAGGAGGCAAGGGAGAAGGAGGAAGGGAAGGGGAAGAGAGAGACGGAGGAGAGTGGGAGCAGTTCTCTCGTGTCCTCTTAATGATACTCCAGGGTCTCTGAATTTAGCCCGCTGTATTTGCTGGTGAGGGAAGGGGGGCACAAACGTGCAGGTGTGTGTGCAGGGACGGAGAAAGTGTGGAGTGTTAGTTGCGCTCCCACGGGCCGGTAACTGAAAATGAAACGAAGAAATAACAAGTTGGCACGTTTTGTTTGTGTCGTACTTTGTAGCGCATTACGGAAACGATTTGCGAAGCTTCGTTGGGCACAATAACACATGGCCTTTAATAAAGGTGTTTAACATAATGTTTATTGCAGTATGGTGAAAGAAAATGGTTGCTTAACGTTGTGTTTTCTCTTCCTCCCTCCCCTTTCCTCACTCCCCCCATCCCTCTCGTCTTTCCTCTTTTGCTGTCTCCAGTTCCAACAGGTTAGAAGAGTGATGACCATCCTGTTCGTTACTATGGTTATTTCATACTTCAGTTGCATGAGAGCTGCGCCCATGAGAGAGATCCCGGGCGTGCAGGGGGGCCACCGGGCCGAGGGCTACCTGGGCGCCGCTGCCACCGCCGCCGCTGCCGTCACCTCAGGCAGCCGAGGCCACGGGACTCCACAGAGTGGGGGCGGGCTGCCCTCGCTCACGGACACTTTCGAGCAGGTGATTGAGGAGTTGCTTGAGGTGGAAGGAGAGGCGACGCAGCAACTGGGGCCCGGGGCCGACCAGGGCCAAGGAGGGGGCGGTCCCGCAGCCATGGCTGACTCGAAAGATGTTGACATGTATGCCTCGCGGGTGATGATCAGCAACCAAGTGCCTTTGGAGCCGCCGTTACTCTTTCTCTTGGAGGAATACAAAAACTACCTGGACGCCGCCAACATGTCGATGCGCGTGCGGCGGCACTCAGACCCCGCGCGGCGAGGGGAGCTCAGCGTTTGTGACAGTATTAGCCAGTGGGTGACGGCTCTGGACAAAAAGACGGCCATAGACATGTCGGGCCAGATAACAGGGTAAATTATTCCGTCAGATGAAAATTTTATGGACTGCATGTAAAAAAGATGAAGTTTATACAGTAAAAGTGATACTACAGTCTATTTATTGAACATATTCATGATCTTGTAAACAATTAAAAAAAGATCTGATCAGTCATTCGCGCCCAGTTCAAATTACTATATCACATTCCTCGAGACATTGTGTTTTTTACGTTGCCAAGATTTTGAGAGATGAGGAGAGGAGGGGGTGAGGAAGAATTACATTCAAGGAAAAAAAACGAAAAAAAAAAAAACTTGCATGCTGCTTCAATTGTGAATTGAGAAACTGTCCACTTTGGGAAAACAAGGAAATGATTTCCGACCAAAACATTCCGTTTACATTCTCAACCATAACAGGATTTCCTCCTCTCAGTACTCTGTCTGTTTACTATCCTCAACTTCTCAAGGTAATGTTGGAAATACATACTATGTCAAGGTGCTGTTGTCAAAGCTTTGCTGTTTATTTTTTTATCCCCACAAGATGAAAAAATATATATAAAATATATATAAAATTTATTCATTGACGTGTTCTGGATTAATATAATTAATTTTGTATGTTGTGAAGTTGTTTGCAATATTAAATTGAAATATTTGAAGAAATAAAATTACTATAGGCAACTGAAAAACAAAACCAATGTCAATAAAGTTTGAGCTCTCCCTTTGCAGGTCTAAATTTGGCACAAGCTTTGGAGAGAACCTATTCTCTCACAGCGAACATACATTGGATCCTACATTCAAATGATTTCAAAGGGGATAGAGATCCATTGAAGTACCTCCTATTCTCTCACCATATATAAATATCAGTATAATCAAGAGGATCAAAAGCTAGTTTGAAGAATTTCGCAAATGCAGATGAACACATCTATCCAATGTAGATTCAGTTCTCTTCCACAGAAGAACAAACAGTCCAAAGAGTTCTCAGGTAAGACCTATTGTACACTTGGCATGTAAATTCTATGGAAACCAGTCCCTCACATAATGTTGTCCAGTCAGAGGGTACAGGTCGTCATCACTAGCACTGAGAGATTAGGATTTTCTTTTGTCTGAAAGGTAGATCAATGGAGTCAACACTCCAATGCACTCTTCGTGATATCTGATACACCTGAATACAGACACAGACCTATACACAAGCCTGCTTTCCTTCAAAGGCTGTTATCAGACAACAGAACAGAAACTGTGTGACACTGATACACTGCCACAGATAAGGGAGGACACGGAGTTTCATCTGTTTATGGTAAGTATCTCACTGCATCATAAGTACATGGACAGGGCAATAAAGAAAGGATGCTCAAGCAGAAAGTCCCAATAAATGATCATGGGTGCATCTTTCTCAGCAAACACATACCATTTTCAGACATATCTGAATCAAATCAAACACCATCGTGTTGATTCAACAAAGAATCATGGTACAGAAACTATAATCATCTATCATTGTTGCTTAATGAGTAAAACCCTTATAAAAAGAAAATACACAGTCTGAGCCTTTTTTTTTACTGCAAAATGCAACCATATACAGCAATGGTGACTGGACTAGATAAGGAAACGGACAGTACAATGTTCTCCTGGTGCATTTTACCCGAGAAACATCTTGCATGACTGAGTTATTTTTGTGAGGTTCAGATTTTCCCCAGTTCAAAGTAGTCCTTGGTAAGACCCAGCAGGGCCCTGTCCCATTTGCTACAGAAGTAGGCCATTCTATTCTCTGTTTCCCTTTCTACAATCCCAGCAACTAAACTCCTACAATCACTGTTTTAGCAAGCTGGTCCAGTTTGTTTTGTGGCTTTGATAAAATATGAGAACATCAAAAGAGTAAAAAAAAAAAAACTAACAGAGCAAAATACAGCATCTAATGACAATGCCATAAAATAAGTGCAATTTTATTTTGCATATTCCGATGCTCATATATGTAGATGAATCCTCTTTAAAAAGTGTTCTTTAATAATAATAAAAAAATAATTAATTAAAAACAGAGAAATTAAATATTTTCTTTTTCATCTGTTCATTTGTCTCATAGAATAAACGATAAAACCTATCCAGAAAACCAGATCATTATTTTACTGAATGGCACTGCTCACTAGGGACTGTACCTGCTACCGAAAGGGAAGACACCAAATGAATTTTCTTAATAAAATAGTATTTGCATGAATATTTGCAACTAATATTCTAAAGTAAAAACTTATATAGAATGATTACAGAAATTCCACTGTACTCGTGCCAAACAGTAGCCTGTAAATATATTCACAATATAGCACGACTTCTAGTACCTTATGCTTAAATATATTATATATTCCACATATATAATAAAATAAAATGATATTTCCTCGGGCTGCTCATAATAAAATTGTGTCTGTTATGGTATGCAAAGTGTCTGCACAGAAGCAGCGCAGGAATGATGCTCTTGACTCGCCCTTTAATCTCTGTGCATTAGCCACAGCGCTTAAGCTCAGCTAGCTAGCTAATTTAACAGCAACAAACACAGCAGCCGAGTCGCGAGTCTGGAGCTTTCGCCAAACGCAAACTCAATATCCAAGGCTAAAATGGCCTCTTTAGGAGAACCTGTGCGTCTGGAAAGAGGTAAGCCGCTCACTGAAACGCTTTCTGTTGAATGTAATGCTCGGAAGCTTGTGTAAATCACGCTTTTTGCTCTTAACATCCCGCTGTCTCATACGAGGATGGATTAGTGGACGACAGCGAGCTAGCTGCTATTCATTGTATCCGATCATTCGTAATATTCAATAAATTCCACGACGTCTACGAAAGCGTATAAAATGTGAAGTATGAATCATTTTTTTCTGTCGTTAAAGCGACGTGTTTACGTTCAATGAAAGCAAAACACCAGGCTAGCTGTCAGTAGCAGTGACAGTAGCAGTAGCAGGACAGCGTTAATATTAGAGATCAGTGCATTTGATTGTTTCTGCTGGTTTAGTACAGTCTTTCAGTGACATCCTGACAGCCAGCATCTTATTTGTAGTCCAACTGACAGTTTATGGGGCTTTAAATTGTGAAGAGTGAGCGTTGGCTAACTTAGTCGTTTAGCAAAAGCGTTTAAGCATTTTGCATCTCTTTTGATATTCGTGTCTTTAATAGTACGTACAAATATATGATTAAAAATATTTGCAGAATGAAGAAACCTAAGTTACTTCTGTGGCTGAAGCTGAGAACCAAAAATGCCTTTCGTTTAGAAGTTATTTTATATTTCAGATTAATTAACAAACTGTATAACTTCTTAGTTGTAGAGAAATTTGATAATAATAATAATAGTAGTAGTAATTATTTTCATCATCATCAAAAAAAAAAAATCACGACAAACAATTATTTGGTTTTAAAGAGAGAGAATTTACATTCTGAAATATTTATTTGACCATGTAATGATTATTAGGCATAGATGTTTAGCCAAAGACAACATCTTCAGATTGAATGATGCAAATGATTGTCCACAGCCTCGGTCATGCCCTCATTGTTTTGCATATGTCCTTTTCCAGACATATCTCGTGCCATTGAGCTGCTGGACAAACTCCAGAGAACAGGGGAAGTGCCTCCCCAGAAGCTGCAGGCACTGCAGAGGGTTTTGCAGAGTGAGTTCTGCAATGCCGTACGGGAGGTGAGTGTGCCAGCATCACATTCATGCATTCAAATGAATGCAAGTCCTTATGTAATCTTGTAACTCATGAGTGTAAAAAGTGCAGACTGTTTTCACTTGTTCACCTGTGTAGGAGTAAATTTGGTAAATATGTAAACAGACATTACTTTTAAGTGCGTAATTGTACTTAAAATATTGGGCATTATTTTAGGCCATTTGATTGCCCATGATGATTTCGGTTGTCTTTTACATAACTGTGCTTGTAATTATTAGAGATTTGACCATTCAGAAGAGATTCCTCATGAAAATATAAAAACTTTACATTTTTATTCTTGAAATCTGAAATAAAATCTGCTTACAATCATTTTCACTAACAAATCATGACTTGCGAGAAAGATTTGCCATACATTTACCATAAATTTACCATAATTTACGAAAAAAGTAGGAGCAACTGAAACCACATATACGCAAAACCACATCCTCTAATCACATCCCCTAATCAAAATAAGATTAAATGTTATAAATTTTTATCATATAAAGTGAAAGAGCAAGAAAAGCTGCATAATAGCTTGAGCTGTGAGGTTTCTCTGTATAACAACGCAGATACACACATGTACAACTGGATGATGAGAGGTCTGTAATCTGGGTCTGTTTAAAAGGTGTTTATTATGTATGAACTGGTTTTGAATAGCGCACGTCTTTAGAAAGTGTCATGTTTGCTGAGAGTGACGAAAGGCTGTGAAGGAAAGGTTGTGTGAAAGCCCTTATATGGAGATGATTTTGGCATGTTTTATGCAAATAACAAACCTCTGTCATGCAGAAGCTCATTTAGAGTACTCCAAATTCATTACCATTAAATTTAAGAGCAAGTTCATGTCAATTAGGTTGAATTTATTTGTTAGAGCTTCTCCTGTGTGTACAAATGGGGGGGGGGAGGGGGAACAAAGACAGCAAGGTGTGAAGAAGGTACCAAAGAACAACATAGACCAGTGATTAAAAAAAAAAAAAATAGAGCAGACGGAAGTTGCTTCATGCTCACCAATCCCCCCACCCCCTTTCCGCTCAAGTACTCGGCTCATTTACTCAAGTCGTTATGACTGAAATTGCCCTCATCACTAATGCTTATGACAAAGTGCTCATTACTGTAGTACATGGGTAGTTATTGTTGTGTAGAAGGACTGGATTCTGGATATTGATTCTGATGTCCACAAATAGCATCAATCCATTTGTCTGTTTCAGACTGGGCATAAAACTCAGCTGTAGTGTTCTGTTGCCCATGTAGTGAATCTTAAGACTGTTGGCACTTGACTGGTCTCCTCCGTGCTGCTTGGTCATCTGTCGCGCTCACTGAAGACTCTGAAGTGATGCTTACAGCAGAGATGCGCTTCTTTGCGTGAGAGCCTAGAATAAAGCAGGGGTTTCTGAAAGCAAAGATTTGTGGATTGGTTTGCATAGGCTTAAAGAGGTTTTGGACGGAGTTAATGAAGATCATCATACGTGCATTCGGTCTTAAAGGGGCAGCAGCCTATAAATACCTGCTGTTTAAGCGCCACCTGCTGTCAGATTTGCATCTCATTCAGCCCGTCTGCTGTTTTTGTTTCGTTCAGATTATTTTATATAGTATCACAAAGCTAAAGTCAGATCATTTTGTTTCAAATTTCAACATTTTACAATCTAAATAACATGTATGCAGCATCTTTGTTTGGATCGTGATTAAAATACACAGGCAAAACCTTAGTTTACTTGCATGGAGAAATTTCCTTTATTTGTATTATGTATTTATTTGATTTGTGATTTGTTTTAAAATTTCAAGTCACAATATAGCACGACTTCTAGTACCTTATGCTTAAATATATTATATATTCCACATATATAATAAAATAAAATGATATTTCCTCGGGCTGCTCATAATAAAATTGTGTCTGTTATGGTATGCAAAGTGTCTGCACAGAAGCAGCGCAGGAATGATGCTCTTGACTCGCCCTTTAATCTCTTTGCATTAGCCACAGCGCTTAAGCTCAGCTAGCTAGCTAACTTAACAGCAACAAACACAGCAGCCGAGTCGCGAGTCTGGAGCTTTCGCCAAACGCAAACTCAATATCCAAGGCTAAAATGGCCTCTTTAGGAGAACCTGTGCGTCTGGAAAGAGGTAAGCCGCTCACTGAAACGCTTTCTGTTGAATGTAATGCTCGGAAGCTTGTGTAAATCACGCTTTTTGCTCTTAACATCCCGCTGTCTCATACGAGGATGGATTAGTGGACGACAGCGAGCTAGCTGCTATTCATTGTATCCGATCATTCGTAAAGTTTTTGCTGTGGTATCGAAGTAGTAAATTGTTCTTTAAATAATAAGTGTTACTTAAATAATAAAGAACCATATTTTTTTTTGCTCATCTGAAAAATGATCCGATCTGACTCAAAATGTGATATGATAATGTAATATAATCCGAACCGTGAGATTTGTGATCCGTTGCACCCCTACTCTCTTGACTTGTTATTTGAAGAAAAAATACAATATCTTTTATTCGGGCTAGTTAAATTCATTTTTGGGCTACCAAAATCTGAAGAATGCCTGCCGAAGGGCTACCACGGATTTTGAAATTTTGCGAGCCCTGATACGATATGATATTGTCTATAAATCTAAGCACTGATCTGAAATGATTTGGTCTGTCATAAACTGTATTTTCAGTTTTCAGCAACAATCTAAGAGAGAGATGTTTCTTTTTTTAAGTTACAACACAAAATAATATTGTCTTGTCACTGTTTATTTATTTGTAGCCATGTATTAATGTTGAAAACAGTTATTTTTGTGAAAACTGTTATTTTGTTTTTGTTTTTGATAAATAAAAAGCTTAAAAGGATTGCATTTATTTGTGCGTCTTTGCTAAAACAAGTATTAATTACAGTGTATATCAGTCAACTTTGGATAAAAAAAATAATATTATTAAATTGCTGATTTACTGATAAAAATTATTTACTACTAATAAAAAACATTGTAAATTATATTAGTATTTTAGGTTGCTTAAAAAAAAAAACTGTACTGTACTGTTATTTTTTCTCCTCACTGTTGAGTTTGAGACTTGTAAATGCGTCATTAGTTTACTGAAACCACCGGCCCTTCACTTGTTTCTGTGCCTATGCAGCCTTATTACACCTGGCCTCTGGATGGACCAAACGGTCTAGATTTTGTGTGTTTTGTGACTCCAAGGCCACCCATGATTTCTCTGGAAATGCTTGTTTAGGCTGTTGCTTGACTTAAGTGCTGTACCTTTTGTGATGGATGCATAAAATAGTTGATTGGTAACTCAACAGCTTTGCATCTTAAAGATTTAGCTTTGCACTGAACCTCTGAATGCATGCTTGATTCTCAGATAAACACGCATGACTTGGAGTTGAATGCTGAGGCAGTGTGGTGGACATATAACAACGGCCCTAAATGGAAGATGAATCAGCGGTTTAGCATTTGCCGAAGCATCAAGAGCAAGCCATGTAAAGAGATTGATTTGATATTGTATTCTCTTAATGGCATGGCATTCCACTCACCAATTACAGCTGGTTTAAGACACACTTGCTGTTTTTCTGGTGGCTATTCACTGAAGATCTGATCCAGATTAATTTAAACAGCTTTTTAAGGGTGAATTAAGATTCACAAGTAATTTAGTTGTGACTAAACTGAGATGGATCTGGGAAACTGCCTCAGGTTCTGCAAATCTGGTTGAAATTGTACATCTGGTTTTGTTTACCTGGCAGTTTAAGGGTCATGAAACGACAAACTACTTTCTCTAAGATTTTAGCAGAGGTGTTTTTCTTGCACATCATAGAAGACAATGTTGGCACCTGTTAATTTTTATTATTGGAGAAAACTGGTTAATATTGAACTTTTTTGCACTACTTTCATCTTTCGGGTTTAAAATCATCGTGTTGAGGTCACGGTTTGTGATGTGGCAAAGGACTATAATACTTTGATGGCGCGTCGGTGTCTCATAATTAATAAGCTTCACTTATTAACAACAGCATGTGTGACAGACACTTCAGACTGTGAGATTGCGTACATTAACTAAGAGAAACGTTCATGGATCGAAGGATAGTGTTGTTTTTTTGCTTTTTTTAGAGTTTGGCACAAACGCGATTCATTCACTTAGTGAGTTCACTTCGATGCAGAGTGCAAATGCAAATGCCTGTGCATTTATTTGTGTTTTTAACTCAATGGGAGCGAAGTGAAACTGAAACTGAAGTTGTCCGTGTTGTGAACTTTTGTAGCATTTTTCAAAACTGTGGTGAGAACTAACTAGTGCTGAAACAGGGGGTTACATGACCCTTTAAGGCTGTAGAGGTTGTACTGTATTTGTGTGTTTGTGTAATTCATGCAGTGTTCTTTGTCATTTTCAGGTATATGAGCATGTGTATGAGACAGTGGACATAAATAGCAGCCCAGAGGTGAGGGCGAATGCAACAGCAAAGGTAAGTTCCTGTGTATCTGCTAATTGAATAGATTTTTTTCTGTAACTAAAGGCCCGTTCACACCAAGGAAGATAACTATAAAGATAACGATAAAGATATAGTTCTAAAAATCGTTCTCAATAATAAAGAATAGCAGAGTTCACACCACAACTATAACGATAAAGACACAGAGAATCTATATCGCTGGAATCACTTCCAGAATGATTTTTTTTCCAGCTGATGAATGATAAAATCATTGACACCCAATCAGAATCCATCCTGCTATCTCGAGCTGGAGAATTTAAAGCGGCAGACGCGTGTGCGCTTAGAATAAACTGACGATATCGTCCGCTGGTGTGGGCGCTAATATAGTTATCTTTATCGTTATCGTTCTTGGTGTGAATGGGGCTTAACAGTATTCTGCTAACTATTTTTAGCACGAGAATTGTCAGAAAGTTAATCTTATTATCTGATTGGCTTGGTTGTAATGCCTTCTTTAACCCCAGACTGATGGCCTAAAAATATATGAGCATCTTATTTGTGGCCATTCACACTTTTTTTTCATATATTTTAATATTTATATATAAATAAACACATTTTTAAAAAATTATATTTATTTACAAAATAGGTCTTTATATGAATACATATAATTTAATATAATTTATATAATATACCTTTATTTATTTATATTATTATATATTTATTAATAAATAATTTTTTGATTCATATATTTTAAAATGTAATTTATTTCTGTGATTGCAAATCTGAATTTTCAGCAGCATTACTCATGATCCTCATTCTAATATGATTTGGTGCTCAAGAAATATTTCTTATGGATATCAATGTTGATAACAGTCGTACTGCCTATTTTGGGGGGGAAACCATCATAGTTTTTTTTCTGGATTTTTTGATTAATGGAAAGTTTAAAAGAACAGCATTTGTTTTAAATAGAATTTTTTTGTCTTTACTGATACCTTTGATCAATTTAATGTATCCTTGATAAAAAAAAAATAGTATTGAATTGATTAAACAAAAAATTTATGTACATGCACACTTATTGCCTTTGCACAAGACTAATAAATTGTTTATGCCACTCATTTATGCCACAAGTGTTTGATTTATGACCATCTTCACTCTATTCCTAGGCTACAGTGGCTGCATTTGCAGCCAGTGAGGGTCATTCTCATCCACGCGTGGTAGAGCTCCCTAAAACAGAGGAAGGACTGGGGTTCAACATCATGGGTGGGAAGGAACAAAACTCACCCATCTACATCTCTCGCATCATTCCTGGAGGCATCGCCGATCGGCACGGCGTCCTGAAGAGAGGAGATCAGCTGCTGTCTGTTAATGGAGTGGTATGTACATTAGGCTTGCCGCGATAGACGGTGCTGACGGTGATACCGTTGTTAAGCCGCAACACCGGTTACATCACTTGCCCACCGCGTCACGACCCCCACCGTCGTTTTGATTTTTTATAGTAATAAAAATCATTTAGTTCAGTAAAAGAACAGACACTACAATTAAAAACTGAACGCGGCTGCTCAATGCAGCGTGCCGAACGACAGTCGCATCACAGATCAGATTTCATTTCTCCAGTGAGGAGAGTGAGTCGAGCTGACTGACAAGAAGAGTGAGGTGAGACAGACAAGACGATCGCGGATGATTTAGTTTCCAAATGAAATGCAAAAGCGCCTGTTTGGCCGTATTTTAGATTTTGAAAAGCCTGTTGACTTTTGCCGTTTATCTAAGGTGATTTTGGAAGTTTTTTTAAACATTCGTTTCTTAGTTAATTGGTTTCACATTGTTTGCTGATTTTTACTTTATTTAAACTTTGTGTCATTTATTTATTTTATTTGACATCAAGGTGTATGCCGTGCCGCCAAGCTTTCTTACTCGTTTTGCTAATAAACGTTCTACGTTTCTTATACATGTTTACTTAGCCTATTTCCAGTTTTGTATACCTAAGTAAACATGTATATATAACCAAATAAATAAGAAACGTAGAACGTTTATTAGCAAAACAAATAAGAAAGCTTGGAGGCACGGCATACACCTTGATGTCAAATAAAATAAATAAATGACACAAAGTTTAAACAAAGTAAAAATCAGCAAATAATGTGGAACCAATTAAATAAGAAACGAATGTTTAAAAAAAACTTCCAAAATCACCTTAGATAAAAGGCAAAAGTCAACAGGCTTTTCAAAATCCAAAATATTGCCAAACAGGCACTTTTGCAT